GATCTTCGCGAAACACAATGCTTCGACTACGCTGAAAGAGTCTTAGTCTCGACGTCATATCTGTAAACTCATGTTCTATCATCTGTTATAGTAAGTGATTCTGCATCGTCGTTGACTTCATTTAGGGACTCCTGAGCAACTCCTAAAGCCAAAGCACTGAAAAAAATGTCATGACATGATCCAATGAAAGTGCCAACATGATCAGCGACCTAATTGAGAAACGGCGAATGTTCATCGTTTTCATCGGTTGTTGATGAGCTGAGACGTCCAGGACGATCTTCATCTTCAATATCTTCTCGGTCTTCTTATAAATGTTTTGATATCGCTTCTTTGTTTAGTTATTTCAACGACCGAAAATGGTCGAGTACTTAAAAATCATCAAAACTTAGAGGCTGTTACAGGAAAAGTCAACAATGAAAACTATAGGTATTACCAATACCTATGTATATTTTAGGTAAATGTTTCACGATCAAACTCTTCAAGCCCGCAAAATTTAAATATTATAGATTTTTTTCCTTCAGCTTACATTTGTAAAGGATTATTTTTTAGCTTTTATCCTTTTGGTAACACTGGCTGAAACAGCTGACGCACGTTTCGTGTTTTGTATCACTGTCAAACACCTTTAGTTTGGTCTATAATTTAACCATGAAACGTTTTAAAAAGGAACAACGTTGGCATATTATTGAATTTTATTTTCAAAATGCGTGCCCTGTTAAGAAAGTTCAAAACAAAAAAAAAATTTTTGGAGCTTCGAAGCTCATTTTCAGCTTAAAAAAGCAGATTTGTCGATTTTGGAGTGAAGATCAGCCAGAAGCATTGCAAGAGCTACCAATGCATCCAGAAAAACTCACAATTTGGTGCGGTTTATGAGCTGGTGGCATCATTGTATAGTACTTCCTCAAAAATGATGTGAAGAGTAACGTAACTGTGAATGGTGAGCGCTAACGTGAGATGATATCAAACTTTTTTTCCCCATAATGCAAGAGCTTGATGTGCATGGCATGTGGTTTCAACAAGACGGTGCCACAATGGACCTATTGAGAACCGAGTTCGGTGAACATTTTATCGTACTATCGATTCGAAATAAAGATTTCATGCATTTCCTATACCTCTTAAAAAAACACCCTTTATATCATATAGAAGCTATGTATTTCATTATCGATCATGTGTTTATAATATATGTATATATAAAAAGCCTAAAAATATAAATTTTTATGTGATATAATAATGCTCGAGTTTGTCCGCGACTTCGCCCGCATTGAGTTTTAAGATTTTACTAATAAGATTTTCATTACGTCATATATTTTTTATAGCTTATAGACTACTATGCTTAAACGTATGAGAAAGAAAGAAGAGTTTTCCACAAATTAGTCTAGGCAAAGAGCTGAAGCGACTGCAAAGCGCTTTCTATGTTCTAGATATCAAGCAAAAAGGTAAAGAAAAATAAGGTTTCCTGGGATAGATTGATCCCCGAATGAAAACTTGTCTGCATATTAAGGGACCTCTTTCAAAGACCATATATACGATTATTCGAATTTATGCGGTCGAAACTCACTTCTCGGAAAAAAAAGGATTTCCCATTTTGATTTAGGTCCAAAATCAAATAATAAATTAAAAATTTTCGAATAAATAAAAAAATACAGTCCCAAGCGCACTTTCACATGTTGATTTAGGCAAAGAGCTATCTCTGAACCGAACCTCTGAATGACTCCTTTCAAGTTTGAGGTCTTTACGATCAGTAGCTGAGGCTGTGGGTTGATCGCTCAGGCATTTTTATGTATAGATATTTGTATATACAAATGCATAGTTATAAAAACATAAAAAATTTAATGCCAATCATTTGACGAATGTACATACATACACACGCTTTAATTGTGTGTTCTTTTCCATTGTTTTTCGAGTGGGTTGCATATAATATTTGCGGTAAAATACATATTTATGTAGTGTAAATGCACTAATTACCGTTTCATTACATTTTTTTCAACTTCATGCTCAATTTTCTATCATACCAGCAATTATGTCGAAACATTTGGTACCAGTTAAGGATCTTTAATTAATGCTGAACCGACTAAGATTGGTAATTTTTTTAAAATTATTTACCATTTTGTTTGTAGAAGTCACATTTGTAAAATAAGTCGTATTTCTCTAGTCAAAGGACGATTTTTTTAATGAACGGACGTTAAAAATCCAGCAAGCGGACATTTATTTAACAGTAATTTTTAAACAAAATTAAAAGAATATTCTTAAAAATAAGTTCATATATTTATTGTATTATTAAATAAATCAATAATAAAAATAAGCTTCTAAGTTTCGCTCGACGGTTAGTTAATTGGAGACAAAAAAAAGTTAAAAGTTTATTTATTGCAAGCGCCGGCTTCCTACAGGTGCTAAAGGTAGTGGAGTAGGTCATCACAACTACTTTGTAAGAGAGGGGGAAGATCCTCGCCACATCTAAATAAGAATATTTCGATAAAGGCGGAAAATAATACTTCACCACGAAGCACCAGAAGGTGGTATAGGCTCTCACCGCCTCTAAGTGTCTGATCGGGAGTAACTCCTCACCTTCTCACGATGCCTAAAATAGGGAGTAGTATCTCACAAGGAGGCCGCGGTAGCCGAGTGGTTAGCATTGCCTACTGCCATTCGGAAGGCTCGGGCTCAAATCCCCGTGCGACTAACATTCAACAAGTTATAGAAAATTAATTTCAATAAAAATTAAGCTTAATTTTCTAATTGCGGTCGCCGCTCGGCAGAGAATGTCAACCTCTCCGAGTGTATTTCTGTTATAAAATAAAGGCTTCTCATAAAAAAATCCATCATTCATGAAGTTAATATCAGGGCTGTCAAACGCAATTTTGGTAAAATTTTAGGTAAACAATTATATATTTGGATACACGGAAACTCTGTATCGATCAGGTTAAATGCGAATCAGCTGATTTCAACTCAACCCGCGTTTATGCTACTGAGTTAACGATTTTATATTGTAGAGAAAATGTGTATAATCAACCCGAGTATGCTTGCGAGTTTAATCTACCCGAGTAGAAACGAAGCTCAAACGTAGTAATTCATAGTATCGATTAAATATATTTGTGGACACAATTTGCAAGGAAACTCTCGTATTTAAAAGATTTTATAAGGAGGATTAGGTATTCCTATAAATACTCCCATACCACCATTCTTTACTAGGAACTCGCTAGTATATTTTTTTCTAATAAAAAATAAAACATGTTTCACATCTACGCGGTAGTATATACGGTAAATGCTCTAATCGAGGTGAAATCAGAATGGTGTTAATATCAGGGCTGCCAAACCTAAGTTTTGCTAAATTTTGATACCATTTTAGGTAAACAATTATATTTTTGACCAAAAGTTAGCAACATGGAAACTCTGTATCAATCATGGTAAATGTAAATCAGCTGATTTGAACTCAACCCGCGTTTATGCTACTGAGTTAACGCTTTTACATACGCCTTAACTCCTAGTGAAAAAGTGTTTATGCTTGCGAGTTTAATCTAGTCGAGTAAAATAAGCCCGAGTAGAAATGAAGCATAAACGTAGTGAAAGAGACAACGTGCTGTCCAAACATATTGTCCATATATTTTCAGTTACCGGACAGCTTGTCCATATATTAAAAAATTAGCTTAATTTTCATTCCATTTACCAGACAATCAAATGAATTATAAATAAAACTAAACTCTATCAAGCCCACTTCCAATACTAATATTTTATATTGAGTGTATGCATTAAGGCGGTTTTCTAAGAGAGGGCTCTACTAGTATTATTTTGCGTCGTGTTCATCTGCGGCTATATTCATTTCAAAGGTATTGCCATTTCGGGTCGTTTTGAGTAGATGTCATTTGTTTTAGCATGAATAACAATTTGTTTCATTCGTTTGAAAATTTCGAAATTTGTACCAGATAAAGTGTTTTTGCGGGGAGTTCTTAATTACTTTTACATGAAGATAAGTGCTACCGAAAGCCATCGTACAATATTTTACTGGACGCGTATGGTGACCATGCTTTAGCCGAACGAACGTGCCAAAAGTGGTTTGCACGGTTTAAAAGTGGCAATTTCGACTTAAACGACGGAGAACGATCCGGCCAACCATCGAAAACCACAGCAAAGCCGAATATCCATGGTGCCAAGGTTATGCTATGTATTTGGTGGGACCATAAGGGTGTGCTCTATTGTCAGCTTTTGAAATCGGGTCAGACTATCAATGGGGACGTCTACCGAAAACGATAAATATGTTTGAAAAAGGCCATCGCGGAAAACCGACCGCAATATGCGACCAGACACGAATCAATAATTTTTCATCATAACAACGCTCGGCCACATGTTGCAAGGCCAGTTAAAAACTATTTGGAAAACTGTGGGTGGGCAGTTCTACCTCAGCCGCCTTATAGCCCAGACATAGCACCTTCCGATTACCACTTTTTCAGATCAATGTATAATGCCCTCACCGGAGTACACTTCACTTCAGAACAGGGTATCAGAAATTGGCTCGATTCTTTCTTGACGCCCAAGCCGGAGAAGTTCTTTCGAGGTAGCTTCCGATGGGCAATACTTTGAACATTAAATGTATAACTTTCTTTATTTACAAATCTATCTGCCACTAACAAAAAATAATAACTTTTCACACTGCTCCCTAGGTACACCAAGTAAATCCATTTAAACAAAGGCGGTGAGGAAATTACATAAAAATGCAACTTATTATAAGATTATACATTATTTTCTCCTTCGAATGCATTCATTTTTGTTATACATTTATTAACAGTTTTTTATTTTTTGTAAAAAATTCTTGGTACTGTCCGTTAACTAGCGCACCTACCCTATGCGCGTATTTGTACTTTTTTTTAAACTTGTGCTTGTGCTTATACTATAAATAGTTCTTGTGTTTTCGCTTCGTACCTATGTATTGTATATACATATGTATATATATTGCGATGTACGAGTATATCTGTACATATATTTATACGCGTGTGTGATTTGAAACTTACCTGAGAATGGAGCTTCCAATCTTTGTACGCTTTTACAATGTAATCCATTTTGTTTTTGTATACTCTACTCTGTGTTCAACACTTTTTCTTCTAAAGTAAGCGGAAATGTGTTAACCACCAATTGATTTTTGGAAAAATATCTGAGTCACGATCGTCTTTTACTTCTTCACACTTGCGGCGACAGCCAGCAAAACTTTCGCAGCTGATCTTAAGTTGTGTATGTATGTGTTGTTAACACATATGTTTGTGGATTTGTATACAAAAGTGTGGGCACCTAACATAAGCCTTTTCGTATTGTTTATTTTTATTATTTATTTGACTTTTATAAATAAGCGTTTCTTTAATATTTGTTGTTGTGTTATTGTATTATTATTATTAATTTTTTTTTTACGAAAACTTAACCAAACGTTAGATTTTTATAAACCGTATTTGTTTCGTATGCTTCTTATGTTTTAAGGTAAACGACTTGCGTTGAACCGCACTTAACTGTTGTTACTACGTACGTGTTTTATAGTACACTGTGAGATGTTAACGATAGACGTATTGTGTAGGCAGTCGTACCGCAGAGAACTAAGCGTTGTTGTTGACGTGCTGCAAATTATAATTCTGCATGGGAAATCACCGTTTCATTGGAAAATTGTAAAAAAAAAAAATGTTAAACAATGTGCCAGCAACAGAACTCCAAAGACCTCGAAAGCGTAGTATGTATGTACGTGTATGTACATATGTATGAGAAACAATGTGAAGGAATAACACCACGTTTCACGCAAATCACTGAAATTATGGCTAAAAGGCGTATTGGATAAGGTATAAATTTTAATATTTGTTAGTGTTCTGTTAGCGTTTTTCTTTTTAATTTTTCTCCATTCAGCAATATTTGCGGCTCAACAGCAAAACTTCAACTTCAAAGAAAGCACTCTCGAGTGTTTAGTTTTTTTTTCTGCTAGATAGTGTTTTTGGCAGAGACTGATCCTCGCCAATTTACATACGCACATATGTGTATGTATGTATGTATGTATGTATGTATAAACACTAGTATTGTGTTTCATATAACCCGTGCGCGTGGCAACAAAAGCTGCTTTTGTGTTTTTTTATTTATTTTTTCCTTCTTATGTATATATTATATATTATAATCGTTGTTTTTTTTCTTTGCTTTTGTTTCTTTTTTTTTTTTTGAAAACAATATAACCACTGTTTTTTGAGAATGTCTACTAACCGGTAGAATCCGGCTTGCGCGCCACGAATTAAAACAAATTTTCTATTGGACTGACCGCTCAACAGCTGTCTGATCGTCGTGACAAACTGTATGTATATATGTATGAATGTGTGTATGTATGAGACCTTTGACTACGTTCAAGTCAGTCAGTTAGCGAGTGAGTGATCAAGTATGTTGGAGTAAGAGTCTCGTCTCAACGATAATACTCGTAGCGCGCACAACTAACTCCGATTCGCGATTGATACCGACTGACTGACTATGCACTCTACTGACGACGACGACGACGACAACGACTAGTTGCTGGCATCTCTAGCGACTTTCTGATGGCATTTACTACTTACCTATCTACCTACTTATTTACCTACCTATCTACCTACCTACCTACCTACAGCTGTTCCAGCTGGCGCCCCAATGAAACACCTACGAAGTTGTGCGTACCGTTGTTTGGCAAGACGGTGACGGTGGGTGACGAACCGGTGTGACGATGGAGAGCGCTTAAACGCCAGAATTTAACATATGTTTGCTTGTGTGTATAGTTTTTTGTTATACTCATACGAACATTTATATGTATAATGAGCATACATATGTACATATATGAAGGCATATACAAAGATATTTGTATGTATGTATGTATACATATTAAATGATTAACAAAAATATTCGAGTAACAAATAAGAAACGTCCACAAAGCTTTGTTGTTTTTGCAGGTGCGGCATTTTTTTATCCTCTCCTCGACCTTACCTAGTATACGAATACTTATATATTATATGTATATACCTACATACGTATGTCTCTTTAAGTTTTCTTTTTGTTTTTACCAAAAAAAAATATATATATAAATTTTATGCGACAGTGAAGAGATCATTTTGATCTTATTTCAGCCACTGTGTACTCGTCAGAACCTCGCCACGTTGCGCGCCAGTTGTCATTGTAGTAGTGGCAATCATTGGCTGTGGTTGTGTAGCCGTTGACGTCGTCGGCGTTGTCGTTGAAGCTTGTTTAACTTTATTGTTGCGAATACTCTATTTTTGTTAAAACAAAAGCGAGAGACATTTCAGTTAGCGAAGGAGCGAACATTTTGTATTTGTGTAGCTTCTAACTAGTATATTTAACACGGCTAAAACGTCTGCGGGCTGGGAGACGCTATATGAAGTGGGTAGGGGAAGATGAATGCGATGTGTTTTAACAAATGTTTCATAAACACATTTGATCTCTCTCTCTATAGTTAATAATTACTCGTTCTAATTGCTTAAACACTGAATTAACTCTCCAATGAGTGCTTGCATCTATTGTATTTTAGCGGTCAGTTTTTGTCCTCAGTGGTGACCATAGACACTGTCTGCCGTTTAAACAAATACCAATTGAGACTTTGTTTATTTGTGATTTGCAGTTAGTAAAGAGAATCTGAAGCGCGTTTGAGATTGCGGCTAAAAGAGTACTGTTGGTCAATGAAAGAGAGTGTGCAAACTACATATGTATGTATATATGCACTAAATATTTATACTTTCACATTGATTATGTTTTCTCATTTTTCGCATGCGTATCTGGTGCAAAATGTGAAGCTAAAAGTATTATAAAAAAAGTAAAAAATTATAAGTGTTTTAATATTTCTCTATTAGTCGCAAGCTAATTACATACATATGTACGTGCATAAGCACGTAAATATAACATATGTATGTATAGAGATTAAGTATGTTTGATAAATATATAAATAAATATATAAATAAATAAAGGCAAAAACAATATTTGGAGAGCGTATTTAGTGCGGCTGCGGTTTTGAGAGAGCGACTCTATTTATTGCCGCCTTCGACTTGCTGGCCAAATGGTGTTTCCTTTCATTGATAACATTCACTGGGGAAACTAGTAAATCATTGATAAAATTTAATAGGAAAAAATTTGGAAACTTTGCTTTATATTTACTGCAATTTCAATATTTTAGATTAACCAAAATATATTGCCCTAACACAATAAAAATCTATTTGGTGTGGACTTGGATTCTTTGCGAAAATTGTAAATCTACTTAACACACACAGTACTGTAGAATAATAACTTAAAAAAAGCTGTACTAGTTTTAAAAGGCGCACCTGGTGTAATGGCCTAAAAAAAGGTGACTTTTGGGTATTTTTAACAAAAAAATATTCTATGAATTATTTCAAAATTTTAAGAATATATTTATACATGTTTCAAGAAAAAACAGTGACATTTTTGAAGAAAAAAATTAAATATTTTTTTAATTATAGTCGATCTCCAACGGCGCGAAAAAAAAACGGTCCTTCACTGCTGCAGTGATTCCGGCCTTCTCCGTGGATGAAATCTAAAAAAAAACTCTACTAGATAATATTGTTTGTGCAATGACCTACGATAAAAAAATCGAAAATTGACAATATGGCGGCGTTTTAAAAAAATAGTCGAATTTTACCCAAAATTTTGCTCGTTTTTGGCCTGCCAAAATTCGAATTTTTTGATCAGATTAAAAATCGATTATTCATTGTACGGAGAACTATATATAGAGCATGTAAAAAAAATCGATAGTGATCGGATCATTTGTTTTTGAGTAATCACTGCAGCAAATTCGGAAAATGCTGTTTCGAGAAAAACGCGTTTAAAGATAAAATGATCGTTTTCACTCGTAGCTAATGAGACTCTCTAGCTGCCGAGCGGCCGCTCTTTAAATTGCTATAACCCAAAAAAAACTATTTGAGTTATCGATTTGAAATTTTAATATGTTATTTTTAAAGGTGTAACCTACCGAAATATGAAAAAAGAAAATTTTTTTTGAGATTTCACACTAGGTGTGCCCCTTAAGTTTCAATCTATCGTATCTTATTTTCTACTTTTGCCTGGGCACCGCGTACGCGATTGCAGCCGAATCTCTTCGCTGTTTGGTGGCAGTTGGAAATATCAAATGAAAGTAGGTCGCTCCCCACCCGATCCTTCATATTTCGAGATCCGGCGAAGTAGATTAACCTCAAGTTGTTTAGGTATGTGCCATCATATAGGCGAAATTTTCCCGACTGTTATACCAAAAATACCTTCTTTGTTCACCCTGGCGTTAAAGTTGGCAAGCATAATTTTCACATCGTAGCAGAGCTCATAGAAAGTGTCGTTGGTTACTTTAAACTAGAAGAAATCAGAGATCTTCGTCTTCATGCAAAAGAAAAGAATTCAGCCTAGTACCCTCCAACTCAGTAAAGTAACTCGAAGTAATTCTTGTCCAAAAAACTTATCTGGGGGAAACATATTGACAGCACAACCAACCAAGCTCACGGAATTTGTATTAGCTGCAGCAGAGCTATTTCGTCAGCGAGCCCAAATGGTGCATTGGCTTTACACAACCGTAGCATGACTAACAGCTAGTCACCTAAAGATCCTAGATAGTGAGGAATATGGCGGCATACAGATAGTTATAAGAAAACTAAGGATAAATATACAGTGTGACCGAGGAAAGGATACCTGCAAGCCACCGCTACTTCCCTAGCAGAGAAAAATGTTCAAAAGGCAAGGCCATTGTTAATACTGGAGATATCTGCATCTATAGTGATGAGTCCAAATGCGATGCTGACACGGAGCTCATTTACTTTACTTTACTGGCATAGACAGCGCTTACGCCGAGTTAACAACATTGCGCCATTCGCTTCTTCCTTTTGCTGTTTGGCGCCAATTAAAAATACCCTTATCTCATCCGAGGCGTTGCTAACTTTTTCATTGGAGCTGGTTTTTACGTGGCGGGTCCCAAACCCAGCGCACAACCTCGCTAGGCGAGTGAGATTAAAGTTTTTACAGATTTATATAGCGAGTCGCTTGCTTCAAGACCGACGCCCGCTCGCAGCCGCACCTCTGGTGAACAGACGCTGCAATTAGATTTCAGAGGACGTTTAAACCGAATAAGTCGGAGTGGCTCCACTGAAGCTTCCTCTCTCATTAGTCGTGACCCATGGCTTTGCCGCATCTTGTACAAGGGTTGCTCACGTTTCCAGGCTGCGCGACGTGGACGCAAGAGGGGGAATTGAGTATTGCCTCACAACTTAAGCCACATACCCAGAAGCTTGACTACATCCCATTACACCCCATTGACACGGAGCATAGTTCGCAATACTACTAGACGTTCATTTTTGTTTTCAAAATAATGCTACCCTATAACCACGTAAATGGGGAGAGGAGGTAAGAGCAACACTACAATTTTTTCTACAGAAAAAGCAATTACATAATATACAAAACCAACAAGATTGTGTAATATTATTATAAATGATTGTTTAAATGCTAGTAAATTTTTATTGAGTCTTATGAATATTAAATGGAAAATTACTTATTACATATTTGACGTTCGTACACTCAAGCTCCGCACGTACAGCTGCAAACGAAACTATTGGTTTTCGAAAAAGTGGCAAAAACAGCTCGTACGATGAGGAAGTATCGCAGTGGGATGAAAGCAGGCTACAACGCTTGAAAACTCTCCGAAAAGATACGGCGACTTACGGAAGGTTACAAGACCGGAGTAAACTCTTGTAGAACAGAAATTAAGTAATTGACGTCCAGAATTTACTAAATTTATGGATAGAAAACTTCTCCAGCTTTGCTGAATGGCAAAAGCTCTGTCAAGATCGGGAAGGACCCGCAGAACTGTAGGGCTGGATAGGGAAGAAACAATCTTCTATGAGAGTGTACAACTGCCGGCATACGCCGATGCTATTGACATTATTGGCCTCAGCAACCGCGCCGCGCGTTAGTTCTACTTTCACCAGAATAAATAAAGAGGCGAAACGAATGGGTCTGGTAGTGAATGCTGGCAAGACGAAATATATCTCGTCATCAAAGAAAAATAAATAATAAGAATACTGCAGCTTTGAAAGTTTTCGATGGAGTACACGCCGATGAAATTAGAGGAAAGGGAAGATCTCCATTCCGTT